ATATAAAAAGAAATATTTTTTCCATGTCTATAAAAAAAAGGAAACATATTTATAATAATTTCTATCATTTGTGAATAGTTTCTGAAAGTTTCATTAACATCTGACAATTATTTTTATTTTTAAAGATTTTCCAAATTAATGTGTGTCATAAAAAAAAAAAACGCTAAAAATTTATGTTATTTTTTACTAGTTCCGTTGATACAAAGAGAAACAAGGTTTTTTAATCAAAATTTAGAATGTTCTAAAAAGAAGGAAAAAAAATTTTAAAATAATTAAAAAAAACTTTAGATCCTCTTAATAATAACATATACATTTAGATGATAAAATTTTGTTTCCGTCAAGTTTGGCGTCTTTTTCATCAGACTATGCTCGTTTTTTATCAATCTCATTAAGGTACCTATGTGTTTGGCGTATCGTATTTATTGACTTTTGAATCACATGATAGTCTCCAAACAACTTGGCGGCAAATTGTATCTAACTCGGTCATGAGCTAAAATGATGCATGCATATATATTTGAAAACATTCAAAAATATGAACTTTATGTTTATCGACCAAACACAAAATGTTCTCAGAAAATTATCTCTGGATTCGTTTTTAATAGGTTGTTTTCATTACTTGAACAGATTTGAGTTTGTAAATGCTGGTTGTGTTGAAAAGATTAATGTGGCTGCATGTTGAAGAGCATTTAACATTTATAAATTTTTTTAAAATCAAGGAAAAAAATGGAAAACCGATTTGTGTTTCAATGATAAAAAATCAATAAATACAAAATAGATTTTTTGTAATGTGTATATTTAACATAAAAAAAAATATTTCCCTTTATCTGTTAGTTGAATAAATGAAATGTAATAAAATAAGTTTTCTGAATAGAATGTTAAAAAATGTATTGAAATAGAATGTTTTACTTCAGAAGAACATACAGTAAGTTTAGTTGTGTAACAATGTATAACAGATCTTTTTGCAAATTGGTTACTTCAAAAAGAACTGATGGTTTTTATGATTTCTGATTCTGTGTCTATATGTGTGCGTGCAGAGTTAGTAGAATGAATAGTCTGTGTAGAAACGTGAGTTGTTTCTTTTCTACTGTCTTTTAAAATCTACTGTCCAATTTTGGAACGAATCCAGGCTTTTTTTATTGCATGTAATCTCCCAAAACGAACGCGGGATAAATTTTGAAAGAACAAAAAAAAATATCTGATTGGATTAAAAATTAACCAATCAAAAATTTTTTAACAAAAGCATGTTTGTAAATTAACATTTTTTTAAATTCAGTTTTGATTTTTTTATTTTTATTTTGTCCTGTGATAACAGTTTTATTATTTAACCAAAAGTTTGTTGAGAAAAATGTAGGCGTTCATTTTTTAGTAGTAATCACTGACAATTGAACCATTGCTCTTTGGTTTTTAATGGGTTATGAAAACTAAATGTAAAATCTTGATTCTACAGTACCGAAAGTAGATTCTTCTGTTTGGCACCCATATAGCGATTTCTGACAACTACATTACTATCCTATCCCTCATATACACTATTTCACACATTTTCACCACACTTGATTTAATCAAGTCTGTGGGTTACCCAACTTGGCTTCGCCATAAGCACCTGTCAGGCTGTGCTATTTAAGTTTATAAAAAGACAAATATATTCTTTTTCTTTCTGTTTTTCTTTTGATTCCAGATGTAGTCGATGATAAAGAATGCTGTCACCAAGGTGTGTTTACTTCCTTGGTCTTCTGTTGACTGAACTTGCGCACGCACGCATATGCATCCCACATTCTTGTTTCACACATGCACAAACAAAATGGAGAAAACAAAACCTACTTCTTATAACTAGTTTTAATGCTTTTTCTTTTGATTTCCATTGTGTACACTTACACATGTAATTCCTTTTGTTAATAATATGCATTAATTGCTGTTTGTTTTAAAAAAAATAAAAGTAATTATACTGTCACTTTGATCTACATTTGACCCTAAATTCACAATTTTACTCAGTATTACTGTCTCTCGCTTCGCCAACACCACATAACAACCAGACAATAAATAATATTCGCTTTGTTGATTCTACATATTGCTGTTTTACTTTTCTGAGTATTTTTGTATGTATAAAGATTAGGGGGTTTATTATTTACCCAAAGTTATAACTCCCCTACAAGGTGTATTACCAAATCCCTGTCAAAAAAAGGTGATAAACTCAAGACTGCTATATGAGTGATAAACTCAAGACTGCTTCCATGTTTATTCGAATTCATCAGGAAGCCGTTTAGTTTAAGAAATGCGGCTCAGTTTTCTCAAAGATTGATAGATTGATAATGTTAAGAGGCTTATCCTTCACATTCACATATATCGATGATGTGTTAATAGGCATACTAAAACCACTCTGCAAAACGATACAAAACTTTTACTTCAATTTCCTACTTTAGACGTTTTTCACAAAGCAAAGAAAGCCTTAATAAACTTCATAAATATAAATTACCTCAGTGATGAGTTGAACACGGTACTAACTTTAACAACAAATACCTCATTAAAATGCTGCTGGTGCTGTTTTACAGCAAAATATTAGTGGAGAAAACAAGACTATATCCTTTTCCTCTCTGAATCCGAATTCCTCACAGATGAAATACAGTACATTTTCAAGAGAACTTCTCACCATCTACTTAGTTATGTAGCATTTCTGCTATATTTTAGGGGGACATGAATTCATGGTATTTACAGACCATAAGCTTATGCCCTCTACAGCAAGATTGACAAATATTCACCACATGAAACAAGGCACCTGGACTGCTTCCACAATTCACTTCTGACATATAATATATATAAAATGCGAATAAAATATTTTAGCAGTCACACTTTACTGTAATTCCATTCCTCAGTAAATACGGGAAAATTTAAGCTACAATAATATCACTGAGGAAAAAAAGAAAGACTCTACACTTTTGCCAGTCAAGGAATATACTACACTGCACCTAAAATTTAAACATCCTTTCAGACATCTGAAATTTCTTAAATTTCCAAAAATGTATCTTCAACCTTCTATACTTTCATCCAGGGTCCTTATTTAAACTTCCTCAGGCAGCAATAAACTATGGTCAGGACAATTACTAATAGGTTTTGAGGAGTATTGAACCACCTCTTAACTGCTGTTGTTCCCAAGTACACCCTAACCCAGGGTGATAGCACCTATTAGAGCAAATAGTAAATCCCCTACCAAAAATAAAAAGTACATTTTTATAATAAAATGAGCAACAATATATTTTCATTATAAAATGACATTCAATGCAACACTAAAAAAATATAAAAATACATTTTTATAGTAAAATTGCCAACCGTACATTTTATGATCTACAAACTATGATGTGGCCGATTTACAGGTAATATCAAAAAATAATAATAATAATGATAATTTTTTTCTCTTTAAGTGTACAAAAGATATCTGATTATTAATAGAAAATAGAATTCAGAATGTCTTGATCTAAAGGTTAATTTTACCGATAACAAGACAGCATGAATTTATGTAAAGTTTACCAAAATTGCTCAGAGCTATTAATAGATAAACTTAGAACAATGGCAATGCGGTCAGGGCACTGAAAGATGAAACAAGTGTAAAGTTTTAATTTAGAAGTGTGTCGGGAAATGGGTCGAACCCATTTCTAATAAGAGTATGTCAGTATGTTCACTTTTTAAAACAAATATGTCACCAATTCTCTATATAAAGAGGAGAGTGGGGCAGAGTTGGGCTAGAGACAGTGAGGAAGTGACGTCAGAGATTGGTACAAAGTGCCCAATAACATGTGCTGTTGATATAAGTACCACTGGACCCGCTACCACTAATATTACTACAACTGAGGATGGGAACATTGGCGGTTGTAGTAGTTACGCTAGAACAGACCAAAAAGGGTTAAAACGAAGCCACCTCTCTCCTTTAACGAAATTACACAAAGTATTTTCTTTTCTTTTGTTAATCATCATTCATATACAAGACATTCAACTTTTTGCCACGAAAATTGTATTATTATATGTATTGTTAATGATATATATATAAAAAAAACTTTTGTCCCTCTAAAATCGGATCGACTTGGCCATATTTATTTGTTGTTAACCCTATTTTCACCCAACAAGCTTGCAGGTAGATCAACGGAGAGCTTTTGGAATTCTATGACCCGATAACTACTCGCTAGGATCAAAAATCACAACGTGGCCCGTGAGTGTAATCAAATCAACATTTGAAACCAGAGATTTAGGTCTAATCTGTAATAATGGACAATACAGGACCAACGACTGGTTTTTTGGATGACGTTGGCCCAGTGGGGTTAGGATACAGTGTCACATGGATGCCTATACCAGAGATTGCATTACAACTGACACCATGCAAGAGGATTGGCATTACAACATATCTAAAAGACATCTTTACCCTAAAAGCACAAAATTATGTACAAAATATCTGTAGTTAAAAGGATAAAATTACATACAAAATATTTAGATTTCAGTATTAAATAACCCAGATGTTGATATGCTGCTAAACAAAATCAACCAACCAACCTTATTAACTAACTCCATCGTTACATAAGAAAATCTTCAACCACCTTTGCAAATTATCACATTCTGATATACAAGCAACCACCAAAGTGATAACAGATCATTTTGTATGGTCAAACATGTCCACTAAAATAAAAACTTTGACACAGCAATGCATTCAGTGTTAAAAACACAAAATTGGGAAACATACAAAATCATCCATTGATAAATTCCAGAGATCTGATAGAATATTCACTCATTTGCATACCAACATTCTAGGGTCCTCCCCAACATACATGGTTTCACCTATATGATCACAATAGTGGATCATTTTAATCGATGACCTACTGCTTTTCCTATTCAAAATACTTCCACAGAGACTATCACAAAAGTATTACTGAACAACTGGATCAGTACACATTGAGTGCAATCTGTAATTACTACTGACAGAGGATCATATTTTCAATCTACACTCTTCCAGAAATTTGTCAATGTACTCGAAGTTAAACATATCTGAACTGCTGCCTCGTAAGATTGTAGAAAGATTCCACAGACAGCTAAAAACTGCATTAGCCACAAAGATTGACACTTATAATTGGGTAGATAATCTAACCTATTACCCTTCTATCAATATGCTGAAAGAAGACTTACATGCACACCAGCAGATATCATTTTTGGAACTTCAATTACATTACTTGGTCAATACTTTGGGGTAGACAAAATATCAACTCCTATCTATGGACTTAAATTAAATCAAGAAATTAAAAGACAAAATGAATAGATTATATACTTTCCACCCACTAGATGTATGACTAAACAATCTTTTATACCTGCAAATAAATTTTTCTCAGGATCAAAGTGGTTAAGAAATCATTATTCCTAAATTATTCAGGTCTACATAAAATGTTGGAACAACACAAAAAATATAGGATTCAAAAAAAGAAAAGAAAAACAGTAAATCAAATAACTGGTTAAGAACCTGCCTACATTGAAAAAATCAAACACCTAACACAAGCAAACTAATAGACAACATGCCCTCACCTAAAATTTCTATATCATCATCAACAACGAAAGCATGAGTTCACCAATAGTTTGCAGGACAAGTACCAGGAGCACATTTACTAAAAAATGTCCACACCTCATAGCAAGATTCCAGCTAAAAATGTAACACACAAAAATATACTTTACTTTGTGGGGAGTGAAGATTTAATTTGTGTTCCAAAGAAAAAAAAATTAAGGAAAAAAGAAAAAATACAAAATTCATTTTTTAATCTATTTGAAATGTTTTTTTTTGAATCATTTATTAATAAAAAACAGTTTTTCTTTTGATACCATAATTAATTACTTCCTTTTTTATTTTTTTTTTTAGTTTGAATTTATGCTTTTTAAAAGCCCAAACAACTTTTTTAACCTTGAACATTTTCAAGAATTAACAAAAATATATTCAGCATTATTTATTTATTATCCATATTGTCTGTTTTATATTATGGGAATAATTCTAACAATTATACAAGATTATTTGTTGCGAATCAACTACAATGCAATTAAGAATTTTCTATTAAAAAACAATTTCTTTTATTCACAGTTTATAATAGTCGGTGTGAACATATTATGAACAAGATATTTAAACAAAACATAATTAGAAATTATTAATTTGAAAAAATGCATTTTTCACAATATTTTTTTACTTATTGCATGTCTTTATTATTTCTTCTTCTTTTTCCAGGGAGGGATTATTTTAGAAATTATATATTCACTGTTATTAATCGGTAATTATTTTTATTTAAATTTTCTTTTTCTATAGTTCAGATATTTTTTGAAAGTTATACTTCTTTATATGGTAAATAATAAATCTGTACATGATAAATAAATAAATATCATATGTAAAAGGAAATCCACATAAAATCTGTTGCTCTTCTTTTATTATTATTTGTTCAGTATATTAAGTTATTGGATATCATTTTTAAGTCAGGTTCTAGTAATAGCTGAAGAGCCTGCTGAAACTGCTTGAGTATTAAAATGATGATATCACTTTAACTATAACATTTATACATAAATATGTTTATTTTCTGGTTTTTTCATAATTAAAATTAATTAGATCTTTCAAGCATAAAATTAGACCTAACCTGATTCAATAAAGAGTTAACCCGGATATAATGGCTGAAATTTATAGTCCTGGCATTTCCTTCATATCCCATAAATACACCATATAGACATGTAGAGATGATAATTTTAAATTAAATCAATATTACCATTTTAATTTAATATTTTTTTTTATTAACATTTTACTGTATCATCTACATAATATATTTATATCAACTTTGTTCAACAAATGCCAAAACACCTGTCCATTTGGTTATTGCTTTTTTATGTAGAGAGTGAATAGTTATTTCCTACAAAACATTTCTTGCAGATGAACTCTCTTAGACTAGCAATACCATTATGTTAGTCAAGAAGGCGCAACAGTCATTCCATGTGAAATCACAAGAGTCCAACCATTACCAACATAGATTTTTTTTTCAAATTTGGTACACTTATAGAGCTTTATGATAGAAATTGAATGATGCCTATTCTATATCTCTAGGTCAAAGGGTTTCTGTGATATGACCCTTGCCAAAAAAAGTCATTCCATGTTTAATTCAAAAAATTTCTGACCATCAAAAGAATTTTTTTATTTTTTCAAATTTGGTGCCCTTTATAGAGCTTCATGATAGAAATTTAATGATATTGAGATCATCTCTAGGTCAATACTTTGCAGTTTCACCTACAAAACTAAATTATATACCATTTGAAAGGTTTAGATAGATTGTCAAGGCAGATCTATGTATTTTTTGTTTAAAGGTTGAAGATAATTTGACCATGACCTTTTATTTGACATAATTTCAAAAAAACGTTTCTTTAATTTTTTTTTTAAATTTAACAAATTTGTCTGCCTTATGTCAAGATATGTCCAAAATTTTTGGTGGATCTTTGTTATCCATCACATCTAGATATATTCATTTTAAATCATTCTGATATTCTTAGTTTAGTTGATTCAATAACTGATACTGAAAGAACTTATAAACTTTCTCAAATTGAGATGGAAAAAGCTTCAAATATTTTAGGATAGAGGATTTTTTTTAAATAACCTTAAATAAAGATACAATCAAGGTTTGTCATAACAAAAAATTTGAGTGAAAAATAAGTGATTTGCATATCCAAAATTTTATTTTATATTTAAATATGTATTCCAACAAGCAGAAAAATAAGTTTACTTGTTAATGTCTTTGTAAATGTGAAGAGTCTTTAAAATATTCATTTCAATATATCATTTTTTCAGATCAAAACTCAATTTTTTAACCACCCCACCAAAAAAATGAAAATTTGATCATTTGTGCATTTAGTATACCATGTCAACAAAACATTGTTAATCATTAACATCATTGTTGCATATTTTCATATTATGTTATCTTAACATTAATTCATGACACTTTTTTAAATAATTATTTTCCTTATGTCATTTTTTCATATGAAAAACTATTTATTGCATAATGAAAATTTAAACACAACCAAAAATAAGGTAGTTTATTTCCCACCGAATTGATCAACATTCAACCACAAATAGCACAATTTTCATTGATTTCATGAGCCTCCTTCTTATGTAAATATTAATCAGCATTCAAAGAACTTTCTAAAGATATACAACTCGACCATATTGGGAGATATGAAAATGTTAGCATATAGTGGCCAATAGCAAAATCTGCAATTTTGAATTTGGCCCATCTCAGTAATATCTTTGTAACTCAGATCACAGTCAAAAGTCCACCAAAAAGTTTGGATATATCTTGACATAAGGCAGACAAATTTGTTTCAAGTTTTTAAAATAATTATAGATACACTTTTTGAGAAATTAAAGGTGAAAGATTAAGGTCAAAATCAAATGATCTTCTTTGACCTTTAAACAAAAGAATAAATAGATCACCTTTTAAATCTATCCAATTACTTTAAAATGGTATATAATATAATTTAATTTTGTAGGTAAAAAAGAACAACTGAGATATTGATATTTAAACTTTGTAACTATTTTCCAAAAATTCACCTTTTGGCAAGGGTCAATGGTTCATATCTCTGACTTAGAGATGTAGAATAGGCAAGGTACCATTCAATTTCTATTACGAAGCTCTATAAGTGTACCAAATTTGAAAAAAATCTGTGTTGGTGATGGCCAGACCTTTGTTTGATTTGACACAGAATGACTATTTACTGAGAATTCTCAGAAAAAATCATTTACAAAAGGTAAGGGATCTTCTACCACTGTTCTGTTGATAATGTGCCGGAGTAGCTGGCATAACTGGACAGCAGGCAGGAGAGCTCTTCCAATCGATTTTTCGCTGCCCTCATTGGAGAACATTTCTAATTCTCATTGTCGCCACAGAACAGAAAACAATAGAAGGCAGCATGCATCCCGAGCAAAACTTGTTTGAACAGTTATCCTCGACGTTTTAGTTCTATTCTAGAAAAAACTTGAGGGACAGTTTTTTTTTTTTTATCCTTGAGCCTTTCGTAAAATGACCGCTAACACATTATTTTTCTTCGGTGGTGGTTGTTGTTGTTGTTCACCTGAAGTCTGCACAATTGCAAGAATAAATAAAGACAAGTGAAACAGACCACTAGTGCGCATGCGTGAATGGCATTTCCTTCTAACAAACGTTGTGTACATGCGCATTAATCGACTTAGAAGTTAGTCGTGGAAGGATGGTTGCATTACTTTTTTTTAGTTTGCACTTAGTCACTTATCTTTAATTTTCGATATAAAAAAAAAAATTCAATCGGTGCTATGAAAACAGCGGAGTGGAAGCTTTATTATTTTAAATCTGATTTTCTACAGAAAAATCGATGTGAGCCATTTTTTATATTATAAAGTTGCTTGATTTATCAAAAATGGAAATAATTCCAATTTCGTTTTTGTCGTGTCCACTAATGTGGGATAGCCTTTTTTTAATGCAAAGACAAATATTTACATGTTACTTGTGTTAACTAAAGCTTAACTTGCCTTATCGGAAAGAAATTGTCCGGAAATAAAGATTGTCATTGTGTGTATGGATTTCATATAAAAAATAACACATAAAATTTCATGGAGCCAATCCGACTTTTTTTTCTTAAAGCAGGTATCAATAAATTTTTAGTTTTCTTTAACCAATAAGAAAAGCGACAATAAATAAGTTTTAAATTTTAAAATCTTTGATTTTCTTTTATTGATTCTTTATCCATGAATGTGCAAACACACATTTAAATTATCAAACCAATACAATGATGCATAAATTAAATATAAAGTCATTTTTTAACCATTTCCATGTCATAAAAAGTAAGACAGCTATTCATTCTTGGCACACAATGGGATCTCTTTGTTTTTCAAGTCCGATTTCCGATTCGGGATTAGTATTCTCATTTTATTAAAATGATTTTATTTTTATGTTAACAAAGACTACAATACACGGAAAATTTTGTTTTGATAAAAGATAATTTGATTTTTTTTTTTTTTTTTTGCTATATAGATGTCCTTTTATAAAAGAAAATAGTTGCTTTTTTGTGGTTTAGTTAATTTCTCTTAAAATCCCTTGGCAAATTATTTTAAAAATCTATCTCCAGCGTTTTTTTCAGTAATGTTTTTAAAGACTGTTACTTCGCTCTTGATCTTAAGATTACTTTTTTTATTGCGCTTTAAAGCTTGATTTTCTGATAGTGTCCAGTTCAGAGGATTGCGATATCGTTATTTTCTAAGCGTAGCTTAGATGTGGCACAAGGCCGGAAGTATGGGACACCTAGTGGGGATTGAACTCCCTACTCATTTGTATTGTAATTGTTCTAGCGAGACAGGCTTGCTAACCATTATACCACGTCGGGATCAACAATGATTACGATATGATTTATCTCCCTTTCATTACACGTAAGTGTCTTGAACTCGACTCCTATTATGAGTACTTTGAATACAAAAAATGTCATGATTTGAAATAAAGTGTCCAATGTAGATAGATTATTAACTTCAATTATTTTTTCCGTTAGTAAAAACTGGAATTTAATTCAACATTTTAGAATTTGAAAAAAAAAAAACAAAAACGTAGGCTTATCTCCATAACTTTGCATCAAACCACACCACAGAATCCCCAACTTTTCTAGTGTATCAGTGTCATCCTCTATAATTTTTTGGCATTTCCTCAAATAAAAGACAAAAAAAAATGAATTTTACTAACGTTTATTAAAAAAGTGTATTACAGATGGTTTTATTATTTCCAATTCCAAAAGGAGGGCTCAGAATATGTCAGCAAAAATTGTGTGGTATAAAAAAGGTAAAAATTATATGGGAAAATCGTTTTAAACTCAACTGGACACGAGACGATTCTTATAGATAATAATTTGCAATAATTAGATTGTAATTTTCATATTAGATTACTTTCTAAGTCAAATTTTGTTTTTATCATAAGTAAATAATGAATGAATGCTTTGAATGTAGTTTCAATATCACTTCTACTGAGTAGATAGTACTAGTACAGAATACGTTATTTTGTTTTTATTTTAGTTTTTGTTTATGCACAAAAACTAATAATTTACATTTTACAATAATAAAAATCATTGTAATATTATTTTTTTTGCATAACTGTCCGTGTCATACTAAGAATATATTTTTTTTTTGTTTGTATTATCCGTAATGTGGAACATTTTTTGCACTTTATTTTATCGACACATTTTTATTTAAAAATATGTCGATTTTCATTTAAAAATCTATAATTCTTCAGAAAAATTTATATTGGTATTTATTGTCAGTAATCTATTTAAAATCTATTTTAAACGTTTTATTGAATTTTAGAAATATTGACCTTCATTATTTACTTATTGCTGTACCTGTTTTATTTTTTGCTTGTTAAACTAAGTGAAAATTCGATGAAGCTAAAAACCTTTAAAATAAATGAATATCCACAAAATAACAAAAATGTATTTTTTATAAGGTAGCTTGTTCTCCTTATGAACACAGAACACATTTTTCATTACATCTCTGTTCGCTTTTGAAAAAATGAAAGTTTTAAAACTAAAATTAAAAAGTAGAAGTGAGTGAAGTGAGAGTTCTCACAATGTACATTTCGCGCGCGAACTTTATAAAAATGAGCATGATTATTTACAAAATAAAAAAAAATGCTAGAAAGGAAATATAATTAATGCGCAAACTTTGCGCATTAATTATTATTTGTTTTATTTTAAAAAGCTTTATTTTATTAATTTGTTTTTTTTTAATTTAAAAAGAAAGCTTTACAATAAAAACCAACAGTTGCCATTGCTTTTCTACACAGAAAAAAGGTTTATAAAAAAAAATAACACTTGTCATTGCTTTTCTAAGATCAGTTAAGAACTTAAGAGGCCGTTAATTAAGCTTCCGCGCGAAAATTGTTCCGCAGTGAATGTAGTTAAACAAGGCCAGTAATGGCGGAAGGGTGAACGCGACTGAGTTCGAACTTTTATTGTCGCTAACTCCAAAATGGTAGATTTTGTCAAAATTTCTTTGTTATTTCCGAATTAAGCATGTGTAAATTTACACCTAAATACGACGATTCCAGAAATTTTTATTGGATACTTAGCGCTGGGCTTAAAAAACAAATTACCGAAATCCTCTCCCAAGAAGTACGCAATAATAAAAAGCAGAATGCTTAAAATAATTCACAATTTACAATATTGTAAGGTAAACATTCTTTGACTTTGTCATGTCGCACACGGTCTGGCTGGGTCCAATTTGATAATTATAGAATCTCCAATTTATAATATTTCTCGCTTCCAGTTTAAAACTTGCATTTTTGTCAAATGTGAATAATAGTCTCCAAGAAAGAAAGAAAAAACTTTTCAGAGCAAAAAGTAAAATGTAAAACGAATTTTCATAAAACTTAACCGAGTCTTTAACCAGTTGACCTTTCCTTGACGCTGTTTCAAACAAGTTGCTGTTAGTGTTAGTTACTGTTATGAGTTTTATTGTTATGTACTATTTCTCTGGATTTTATGTGTGAAAAATAAAATAAGAATAAGATTAAAAAAAACAAAGTGAAAACTGAAAAATGTCAGTCTTGCTTGCTTGAATTGTTATCGTTGATGTTGGTGGTATATTTTTCCCATTTCTTTTTTATTCAAATAGCAACAGAAAACCAGAATAATAAATAGCGATAATTTTTTTAGTTTTATTTTTTTGTGAAATTGAGCAATATTCTCTACTACTGCTACTACTACTAATAATAATCATTTGTAGTTGACTTTTTTGCAGGATGGCTGACAATAGAGATGACGATGAACTTAGCATCCCGCGAGCGGCTCTCAACAAAATGATCAAAGAGCTTATTCCAAATATCCGAGTTGCAAATGATTCCAGAGAATTGATCCTTAATTGTTGTACAGAATTTATTCACTTGGTTTCTTCAGAAGCGAATGAAATTTGTAATAAACAAACGAAAAAAACTATCTCACCGGAACATGTTTTAGCAGGTTGGTGGTGGACAAACATGCAAAAAAAAAAAATTATTCATACTTTTTTGTTCATTTCATTTATTTATTTATTTGACCTGTAGGTACCTCCACGAAAAATAAAAAAAAAAAAAAAAAACTAAAAACAATCAATCAGCATACCATAATGAAAAGTTTTATTTTATTGTCAAAACTTAAAATATTTCATTTTTTGAATATTTCATTTTTATTCTTTTTTTTTTCTTTTTTTTGAACCTTCGAAATTTTGATTAAAAATTTTTTTTTTTTTCGTCAGCGGTTGTAAAACTTTTGTGGTGGCAAACACATTAATTTGGAAATTCTTTCAAAAATCAAATAATTCCCGGATTTTAATTAAATTTCCAGGACTTATTCACAATTGAATGAAAATATTTATTTTTTAGATAATTTTTGTAAAAATATTTTTTTTACATGTAACCCTTCCTCCCCCCACTTAATTTTATGAATAATAGTTGAGAAATTAAACGTGATAATTTTTAGTGATTATAATTAAAAAATGCAGAATTCTTTGAAGAATTTAACTCACCGATTTTTTAAAATTTTATTTATTTATTTTTTTCAAAATCGGACCCGTCTTACCGAAAATCTGTTCTGAATCGAAAAAAAAATAATAAAAAATAATAAAAACTAAAACTAGGATGACATTTATTTGATTAGAGAAGCTTTTATTGCTTTTATGAAAAATATTGAAGATAGTATTATTGTCTGAAGAAAAATAAATTTTTTGATTTGTTTTCATTTTTTTACAATTTTTTAAAAATTAAAATTTTTAAAAAGTTTTTTAAATCATTAAAAAAATTCATTGTCACTGAGATGATAACTCTTAGAAAATATTGGTTAAAACTGCATTTTATTTACTAATCTTAAAGCTTGTGACAATCTGACAACCCCGAATATTTTTAAAAGAATTTATTTTAGATTTATTTTTTTTGTATGTATGACGTACTGAATTTCAAAGTATGTATGATCAAACCTAACATTATGTGTTTTTTTTGTTTTGTTTTTTATTGTTTAAGACGTAATAAAAATAACGTTTATTTACACACGGTAAACCTATTCACAGCACTAATTTTCTCATGTAAACATCTCTTAAAAAGTGTGCGAAATAATTAAAACAAAAGTAGTACAGGACACCAGCGGGCAATAATCAAGAAATTTAGTATTTATGCTTAAAAATAAATTCTCTTTAACTTTATGTAGCCAATAATTTAAGATTATAATTTTTTATTCTATACGCTTATATGAAACTTAGTAGAATGAATAATTTTATTTATTTTTATACATTTTTCTTTTTTTTTTTTTTTTTTGTTTTGTTAAATGATACTTTGCCTATATTTTTTTTTTCATCATTTTCTTACCTGTCTGATATCATTCAATTCTTCAAACATGTCTTTATTTAATAAAAAGAAATCTTATTATAAACAGCAACAGAATGAATTTCAAAATTGCATTGAAAAAATTTAAAATGTAATTTAAAAAAAAAAAAAAAACTGAAAGAAAATGTGTTTTATGCAAGCACCAACTATTAAAAAATTACTTTTTAATTCAGTAATAATTTATTAAATTATTTTTGGTAAGGTTCAGGAAGATTTTTCAATATGTTCACACTTGATAGCACAAATTTGTTACTGAAATAATATCTTTAGGGATTTTTCTTTATATAACTATTTTACTATATCACTAATAATTGCCACAAAAAACACAAAAGGGACCTTTCTCAAAACAAGACACTCACTGCATAAGTTGTAATGAGTCTGGCCATAATTTTGATTTAAAAAAAAAAAAAGCCACTTTAATTAAAAGATAAAGCAATTTACTAAGATGAATGTGTATAGAAAGTAAATTTGCATCCAGTTTCTTCCATCATTTTACTTTTCTTGGCAGATTTATCACAATATGGGATACTTAATAACAAAACATCAAAAAGATGTTCTGACCCCACCCCCCTATTTCCACAAAGTTTACTAATAAAGTGACCTATTCAGTATACAATTCATTCATTAATGAATAAGTACTGAAAATTTTGTTTGAAATGGGTTACAATTTTTTTGCTTTCATTTTGGAAAAATGCATCCATTTTGCTTGTTTATTTGAAAAATCATAGCTCAATCAAAGAATTTAAGAAGCATCAAGAAATGAAGAGATTTGTAACTAAAAGATTGTTTTTTACTTCTAAACTAATTTCATTAAAAAAAAACAACTATTCAATTAAAAGTACATTAAAAATGGAATGGACTATCAATAAATAGTGATGACATTTAAAAACTTTCTTTTACATTGGACATATGTTTCATTATTTTAGGGTCATAGTCATAGGAAAATATCAGATTTGAACTGTATTCATAGGATCACAGTGTCCTGTCATATTGAACAAAAAGTTTGTGTTAAAGGATTCCATATTTGAATTTCATTGTCATAAGTTCTAAGAAATAAAGATTATCCAGCATCATGTCTTCAGATTATTTGAGATGCAAAGTCTCATATTTATTTTTAAATGCCAATACTTTGTAGAACACCAAAAATAATTGAAAACACTAAAAAATTTAAAAGATTGTGCACTGAATAGATAATGATTTGTTTTCTTCTCTGTGTGATTGTTTCTGTTGTTTACTGAAAAACTGTAATATATTTAAAGCTGTAAAATCAATCCAAATTTAACATTTATGCAGTCATATAAGAATAACTTTTTAAAATCCTATTGTTGCAATTAATTTGTCTTGGAATTTTTGTTGTATCCTCAGTGGCAAGAAATTTTGTCTTTTCAGTTCAAAAAGATCTTTTAAATAAAAATTCTGAAACCTTTTAAGATTATAAGTGACAATAAAAATCAGCTCTGTTTATTAATTGACGCGTTTGCTATGAGTCACTAATTTGTAGCATTTTTTTTTTTTTTTAAATATAGTAAAAAGGCTTAACAGCCATATCACATTGAAACACCAGTTCCTATATGATCATCAATGTTAAGCAATATCAAGTCTGGTCAGTACCTAGATGGTTCACCACTTGGGAATACTAGGTGCTGTAAGCTTGGATGTGCAGGTAGTATAATGGATAATGGTTCGGAATTGTTAATCAGAGAGCCAAGTTCTAATTCCCATTGGGTTCATTATATTCACTTGCTACAATACGCTTGGGAAAGGTATGAATTTGCCAATTCTCCCTTTAAACCATTATTATCAACCTGCAAAGAGTTGATAAGCCATAGAAAATGAATCACTCAAAATAATATTCTAAGAAAGTTTCTTAATGATCTTTCTATGAAAATATTTTCAATACATCTTTAACTCCTTGTTTATGTACTTTTAAAAACTCTTACATCTGTTTTTCTGATTTGATACTTAATTCTTTTACAGCATTAGATAGTCTTGGATTTGGTTCATACAAAGAAGATGCTGTAGCTGTTTTGGAAGAAGCCAAAGCAGTGGCAGCAAAAAAGCGTAAAGGAAGCTCTCGACTGGAAAACTTAGGTATTCCAGAAGAGGAACTTTTACGCCAACAGCAGGAGTTGTTTGCTAAGGTGAGTAATTCATGGATATAGTGTTTAAAAATTAAAAAGCTTTAATTTTTTTGTTACATTTTCGTATACCACAATTTAATTTCAAATGGCATTATTGACCTGCTAGAAAGTTATATCTGTGTTATCTTTTTTTTTTCTATGAATCAGTGCTTAATCATTGCATATGTTAATTGGTTCAGGAATTCATGAGGCCAACATGAAGAATAAAAAATATGAATTTTCTCACTTGCCAGATTGTTTTAATTTTATCTTTCCAATGATAATCTGTTTCTGATAATAAACTTTCAGTAAACATTTTGTAAATGTCTTTATATTTTATTTCCTTTTAGGCTCGTTTGGAACAGCAACAAATTGAGCAGCAGCAATGGCTCCAAGTTCAAAATGCCTTACAGCAACAACAATTACAATTGCAACAGCAGCAGCCTACTACTCGGTTGACAATTCCACAAACATCAGAAAATAAGGAAGATGATGATTATTCATAAGATAAGAGGAATTTCATATACAATAAATAATAAATGAAAAAAATGTTTTTTTTAACATTTGTTCTTTTTTATACTGACTCTAAGTGGAGGTCGTTGCAAAAGTGCCCTATTGACCATTTATATTTTCAGTTTTAACATTTGACTATTTCTAAATAACATTAGGATAGGAAATTTTAGTGGTAAAAAACACATTGATTTGGAAGTTCTTACAAAAATAAATAATTGTTGAATTATGAAATTTTTAAGACTTATTCACAAGTGAATGAAATTTTGGATTTTTTTTTTTAAGAAAATCTTGGTACAAAAATTTTTATTAAATATTAAACCTTGTTCTTATGTATTTAAACTTTGTAGTAAATAAATATGATAATTGGAAATATGATTTTGAAAATGTGTGCATAAACAAATTTGACTTCAGGAATTCTAGGAATGGAAAGAAATGACTTGAAAGATTATATAATAAAAGCAAAAATAGGTTAGAATCAGATGAAGAAAAATTTTGTGTGTGTATATTTTATTTTCTGCGATCTTGAAAAAATATTAATGCTGTCAAAAGTTAGTTTTTCCCTTTATCAGGAATAACTGAATACTAACCCAACATAATTTTTACTTTAGTAAAAAAGGTTCGTAACATTTTTTGTTTTAATTTATGACTCATTTGATTTTAAAATAAATGCAGCACAATTTTTGTAGTAATCCAGTTTAATAAAAAACTTAAAACATAATTTAATGAAAAGAGCTGAAATGAGGTTTACTGAAGTCTAGCATAATGCCAAGAACTAGATAAGGCATGTTTGCCAAATTTGCATTATATTTCTTTACCTTATAAGCCATTGTTTGCATATTGTTATTAATACTAACAATTATTGTACAAGAAATCTTGAATTGTGGGAACTCTGAGAAGTTGAAGTAATGGGCAAAAAACTCTTCCTATATCCTGGGAAAATAACAATACAGTATTGTCAATAAAAAATGAATAATAATTTCTATTTATACTTATGTAGAATTAAATAAACTTTTCTGAAAGGGTGTAATCATTGTTTTTAGATGGTAGTATATGTTTTTGGCAATAGTTTCAATGTTGCATCTATTTTGAGTATGTAATTTTACAGTTTTCATTGTCATTTTCCAAAGAAAATCCTATGTTTGGTTTAGAAGAAAATTAACTTTGGTTTAAAAAGGGGATGGTTACATTTATTTATGAGTAAATACTGTATTCTGCTTCTTTTAAATCACTTGAAGTACTGAAGTAGGTTTTTTAACAAAATATACTACATTCTTCAAAATATATTTTTGTTTTGCTTTTGATCTATTACCAAAATTTATGCAATTGTGGTAATTAGAAATTATTTTGAAATGCTGATTTCTTCTTTGCAAATAATCTCACACAATGTTTTAAGTTTTAGCATATTAGCTTCTTACTGTCTCAAGATGTGATTTTTTTTTTTTCACAATCTTTTTCTAAATTGTTATTTGAACCCCCGTTTCTGTCTTTGACAAAGTAGCTACACAATATGTCTATAGTAATAGAATTGTTTTACTACTACTATGTTTCAAATATGTCCTCACAGTCAAGCAAATTAATCTGGTTGTGCTTTTCTTTATGTATTAGGTGTATACAAAAGTTTCCATTGATATTTTTATTAAAATTAATAACTAGCACATGTATTAGTTATCAAAATTTTTCTCAACTTTCTATGACTTTATACCAACATTCCAAAAATTTTTAATTTTATCATGATAAAATGATTCTAACTTGGATGCAGTAAAACTGTCAATTAAACACCAAAAATGTCTTTACACTTTTGAAGGAATACAAAGAAAGCTTTCTTCATCTCAACTCTATTAGGGATTTTGTATCAAGATCTCTATATTTGGACAAATGTTGCTATGCAGCAGGATCACTTTTTAATTTCAATCTTGTAAATTGCCTTTTTTTCCTTCAGTTGCTACATTCAACATTTGCAGGTGACAACTGTAATACTCTGCAGTAACAGTTTCAACAGGTTTTAGCAATTTATAATAGAACATGCTTTTCATATCACACTAAATATAGAGCAGTAACCTTTCTCAGTTAGATTTTGCTGTTGATGCTGCAGGTTTTTATCTTGACATTACATTCTTTGTCTTCTAAGTCAAATTCACTTCACTTGAACTTTGTAAATCGTGTACTGCTTCACATCCAATAATTCCCTTAAGCTTCTTCACTCATCAATCTTTGCTTCTGTTGCTGTCTTGCCCAACTTAAAAAAGAGCAACATACACTATTTACATTATTCGGACTATTGTCCTCATCTTTGTCACCATATTTATTACAACGTTTCAGCTGTTGTACGCTCCAGACTTCTTCAGGTGGTTGGAATGTCGAACTGAACCCTTTATTTCGCTCACTGTGGTAGACTGTTCTAGTTCCACATGCCATGTCTTATGGATGTCAGTTATCTCCTGTTAAATCCCCTCTCTAAGTTCACCACTGCCTTAACCAGGTATAAAACTTGCACTCTTTGGGTCCTGTCACCGGATCTAACGCCTTTATCCACTGTACTATGTGTCCTTCTGTGTATGAATTTCTGGGTATTATAAACCTAATGTTTTCAGCAACCATTTTTTAGCAGTGCTCATATTGCAATTTTTGCTGTTATCATTGCATGTTTTTACCAGAGCTCATATTGCAATTTTTGTCATTATTGCTTCTCTGGCACTCCTTATTACTGGTTCCCATATTGTATTCATTTCTATGCTTGGTCAGCTCAGGAGATTTTTGTGGCAATATGTGCTGATTCCTTAAGTTGTTGCCATTTGACTTTTTATCATGAGATAACACCAAATACAGAACACTCAAAATTGATTTTCAAATGTTTTTAGTCTGAAGTTTTCAAAAAATAGAGTACACACACCAAATAATTGATTGATCTTCAGCTATGATCTGAATGTCATATTTTCTTTTACCAGTTCATTATAAATGTATCTGCAGCAGCTTCAAAAATGAAAATAGAAATATTTTATTAAAGTTTTCTTTTATGATTTGATGAATGAACAGAAAAGTACATTATAGATTATATCATTAATTGTAATGTGTTATGTGTGTTAACGACTTGACTGATCCTAATGAATCTAGGAATTATCAATGCTTTGTACAATTTTTTTTTTAAAGAAAAAAAATTAAAAAGGAAAAAGACATTCATGTTGTATATTTTGGCATTGAATATGTGACCCAATTTTGATTGCTTCAGTTTTGCTAGATTGGAGATATCACATTTCCACTTTAGTTATTTAAAAAATTTTATTTTTCATTTCTTGTTTGATTATTGGTTTAACTATGAAGAAATTAACCTTTTAACTGAGAAGATACCCAGTAAATTTTGAGTGGTGGGGCAATCCATCTTTTACAATTTTCATTTTGCAATTTGATAAAAAATAGAATTAGATCAAAAATTTGTCTAATAATCATCATCATCCTTCAACCTCCCTGTGGTTGGTCGGAACTGTTCTTTTGGTATGCCAACCCTACATCTGGGTGTTTTTGTTGAGACACCATCTCTAGAAAGTCTGCCACAAGTGAATTATCCCATGCCAGACATCAACTTGGAATTTGAATTTATAATAATGATATCATAACTTGTCAACTTGTGGATAAGATTACCATGTCAAACCTAGTCAAATAAATGCCTTTCAGATATCCAAAGCCATAGATTGAGCTTCACCATTCTTATCTAAAGCTTGATAGACTCTTTCATCAATAACAGTTGACCTAGAGAAATGAAAGCTATATTGCTTGTCTGAAAGAAGACCCTGCAAGGAGAGATGATTAATCAATTTGTAGTTGAATGGGGCCTCGAATACTTTAGGTTGATAGAAGGATCATACAGTTTGCATGAGTTCTTAAAGACTACACAAGAGCATTTCCAACAAGCAAGAAGCAGCAAGGCATTTGCTGTAGAGTTTAGAAAGGAAAGATCCAGTTCAGGAGTACATTTCTTAAGGGCTATTACAGGGATTCTATCAAGCCTACATGCTTTATGGGGATCCAGTTTAGAGATGATAGCAAAACCCATGAATAGAGTTCTATGTATATTACAAAGTAGAGATTCAGTTCTAAATACAAAATCAGACAAAGATACTCTAGATGAGTCAAGAATAAAATTGGAAGAGAATTTATTAGCAAAACATTCTACTTTATCAGCAAAAGATAACATCTCAAACTGAGTGAAGAGAAGATGGATAGAAAACTTACTCTAATTTAACAAAATATTAAAGAGCCACTAATAGTGATGAAAACCAAACTTGTTAGAGGCTATAAGGTGCCTCATTCTATCAACAAAGACTTGTCCTCTTTGAGGACACATTTACAATTATTCTGAGCTGTTGGTTTCAATCCTGACAGGAATAACTGCAAAACACTTTGCCCTTCCCTTTTATAGGCAGAAGCACACAAATGTATGCTGGGATTTTTTCCTAGCCAATAAAATAGCCCGGTTCACGATTTCATCTGACTTAGTCTCAATCTGTCTTGTCTTGAAGTCAGAATGCTACATTCACTTGTCTGAATTTGCTTTTGTGTGTCAACACCAATTCTTAGTGAATTTTTTGCCATATTACTATTGTTTTGCCTTATTACTGTTGATTTGTCCTGCATATATTGTTTGCTTGCTTTATATTATTTTTTGCCCTGTTCCTTTCTTCTTCGTTTTTTTTTTGCTTATTGCAAACTTTGTCAAAGACACAGAGCCATCTGTTATCATGTTGGTACAGCCAGAAAAAGTGATTCCTATGGGCTATAACAGCTGAATAGGCTGATGTGAACCAAAGAGAAGATTGTGGTTTCACTTTGTGTTTCCAGGAAGGCACAAAATCTCTGTGGCACAATTCTCAATAGGAAGGATAAAAATTTCATTCCATCACATGAAAATCATGAAATGAATCTCAATCAGTACACTGGTAGCAGAAAAAAGTTTTGTGAGTAGGAGGCTCAATAGACAACTCAGAAATATCAACAGATA